TACTAACTAGTCTGACAAACTATCAGGATTAAGCTAACTTGTCGCGTCAATCAAACGCGTCCTAACCTAACTTAGTCAATACGTCACAACAACTTGTCAGGCCTGCGGGCACCACCAGTGGTGAGTAAGTTAGCGGTAACTATCAGGTGTGTGACAGCACCACGCCACTCTCTCACACGCCTCTGTGGCCACACTAAGAGACGGGCTATGAGGTCACGCCAAGATATGGGATATTAAAACAATGAACTGGTTTATGGAGATTAATTATTCTACTTCCCAAGTAGAACAATTAATGCTCGAGGTCGAGTTCATCATTTTACTGGTGTCAGCTCCTGAATGAACACAAGCATCTTGAGGTTATCTTGAGATGATTTCGGGGCTTTAGTGTACCCCGCGGCCCGGTCCTCGACCAGGCCTCCATCCCCAGGACGCAGCCCGTGACAGCTGACTAACTCCCAGGTACATATTTACTGCTAAGTAACAGGAGCATCAGGGTGAAAGAAAATCTGCCCATTGTTTCTCGTCGGCGCGCGGGATCGAACCCGGGACCACAGGATCACGCGTTCAGTGTTCTGTCCGCTCAGCCGCCGGCTCCCTGCAGCAGCCTACGAAGCCTCCTACGATCGTCGATGTCTGTGATTGTTGTCGTATCTGTCACTATGTCTTGGCGATACAGGATGGTGTTGTGGTGTTGAGAATGATGTTGCTTAATACCTCCGTCTTGCAAATGAAGTGTAAGACGACTACTCAGTGTATTCTTGGTGTGTCCAAGGTAGCGTATATTTCGGAGCGCACAGTCTCCAGAGTTGCATTTGTATTGATACACTACATCAGTACACCTCTGTTTGTCAAAAGACGCAACGAGAAAAGAAAATGAATAATAGTAACAATCCTGTTGTGTTTAATGATTATATATATATATATATATATATATATATATATATATATATATATATATATATATATATATATATGTGTGTGTGTGTGTGTGTGTGTGCTGAGGGAGGGTAATGTGTACTATCTACGTCTCTCGTGTCTACAGCTGCGGGATCTCTTGAAGGAACTATTCTGTTTTCTCTTCAAGCTTATCGTCTATTAATAGCTCAGCTTAACTACCTCAACAAATGCGCTATTTGTATTTTAGTTCCTATTATGGGTTTAATTCACCAATATTAACTGGCACCTAAACCGAAGTAAGAGTGAACAATACCAATCAATCATTTGGTTATATTGAACCCCCCCCCCCCCAAGGCTCTCGATAATCCGGCCCACCCGAAAAGCTGAACGTTCGGATCATCCACTGTGCTGGGGAATGGGGGGGGGGGTCGGTATTACGGGACGCTTAGGTCCGGATACCAGGAGATGAGGTTACCTCAGGTGGTCTGACAAACAGACTATTGCTCCGAATTACCGGGGAGGGGGGGGGAGGGGAACCGGAGACGAAGGCAGGATGACAGGAGGAAACCCGTCTGCGGTTCCGGATGAAGCGGCCAAGTGAGACTCTTGAACAGCGGCCGTGGAATGTTGTAAAGATGTTCTGGTTTGGTGAGGAGGAGAGGGAGGGGGTTGGGGATGGGTATAGGGGATGGGAGTAGGGGATGAGGTAGGGGGAAGGGCTGTCGAGGACGGCAGAGGAAGGGACATATACGAGAAAACGGTTGTTTCCGAGTATTGAAATCTTCCATACTTAAAAGTTTTACTTTCATTCAACAAACAATTATTGTTGCCCTTGTATGTGTATCACAGCTGTGTGTGTGTGTGTGTGTGTGTGTGTGTGTGTGTGTGTGTGTGTGTGTGTGTGTGTGTGTGTGTGTGTGTGTGTGTGTGTGTGTGTGTGTGTGTTGTATTCACCTAGTTGTGTTTTGCGAGGGTTGAGCTTTGCTCTTTCGGCCCGCCTCTCAACTGTTTACTAACTACATGTTTTTTTTTATCCACACCACACACACACACACACACCAGGAAGCAGCCCGTGACAGCGGACTAACTCCCAGGTACCTATTTACTGCTAGGTAAAAGGGACATTCATGGTGAAAGAAACTTTGCCCATTTGTTCCTGCCTGGTGCGGGAATCGAACCCGCACCATAGAATTACGAGTCCTGCGCGCTATCCACCAGGCTACCAGGCCCCCCCAACCAGGCTACCAGGCCCCTGTGTGTGTGTGTGTGTGTACTCACCTAGTTGTACTCACCTAGTTGTGTTTGCGGGGGTTGAGCTCTGGCTCTTTGGTCCCGCCTCTCAACCGTCAATCAACAGGTGTACAGATTCATGAGCTTATCGGGCTCTGTCATATCTACACTTGAAACTGTGTATGGAGTCAGCCTCCACCATATCACTTCCTAATGCATTCCATTTGTCAACCACTCTGACACTAAAAAAGTTCTTTCTAATATCTCTGTGGCTCATTTGGGCACTCAGTTTCCACATGTGTCCCCTTGTGCGTGTTCCCCTTGTGTTAAATAGACTGTCTTTATCTACCCTATCAATCCCCTTCAGAATCTTGAATGTGGTGATCATGTCCCCCCTAACTCTTCTGTCTTCCAGCGAAGTGAGGTTTAATTCCCGTAGTCTCTCCTCGTAGCTCATACCTCTCAGCTCGGGTACTAGTCTGGTGGCAAACCTTTGAACCTTTTCCAGTTTAGTCTTATCCTTGACTAGATATGGACTCCATGCTGGGGCTGCATACTCCAGGATTGGCCTGACATATGTGGTATACAAAGTTCTGAATGATTCTTTACACAAGTTTCTGAATGCCGTTCGTATGTTGGCCAGCCTGGCATATGCCGCTGATGTTATCCGCTTGATTTGTGTGTGTGTGTGTGTGTGTGTGTGTGTGTGTGTGTGTGTGTGTGTGTGCTCATATATTTGTACTCATATATTTGCGCTTGCGGGGGTTGAGCTTTGGCTCTTTGGTCCTGCCTCTCAACTGTGTGTGTGTGTGTGTGTGTGTTTACTCACCTAATTGTGCTTGCGGGGGTTGAGCTTTGGCTCTTTGGTCCTGCCTCTCAACTGTGTGTGTGTGTGTGTGTGTGTGTGTTTACTCACCTAATTGTGCTTGCGGGGGTTGAGTTCTGGCTCTTTGGTCCCGCCTCTCAACTGTCAATTAACTAGGTGTGTGCGTGTGTATGTATGTATGTGTGTGTGCGTGCGTGTTCTCCACTACAGGAATTTACACAACCCACAGGGTAAAACAAGTATAGATAACAATAATAACGTGTGTAAAACAAGACAAAACTCACGAGTTGGCCCTCGAGGAGGACCGAGGGATGACCGCGGCTCAACAGAAAACGTTGACAATAACAACACGTGAGCGGCAAGTGTATGAATGATCGCCCAAACAAAAGTCGGGGGATTCCACACAATTCTGTGCTCTATAAATATTGAGATAAATGTCCTGCCTGTCGGGGTGACGCTTGAGAGCGTGTCAAATAACGCCACCATACTGTTTACAACCATTGTTTACGTCCGGTTCACTGTAAGTGCCGTATAGTGTGGGTGTTAACTCAGGCAGGGCGAGGCTCGAGCCAATGTAAGTGTCAGACGCGATTGTGTTGATCCCAGTGGACAATGTAAGCTTTGTTAGGTGGGCTATATTAACCATAGTTATGTGGGCAAGTATAACTGCGAAATAATTTAACCCTCTTTCCACAGCCCCAGTAAGCCAGGTAAGTCCACTACAGCTCACCATAGCCCGTGCTGCTTGGAACTTTTTTCTTCCCAGTAACTGAATCTAAAACATCAACCCTTATTTACGGGCTATTCATGCCTGTGTCACCTCTTGGGTGGCTTAATCTTCATCAATCATCAATCAACCCTCAAAGGACCTGACATGCATCAGTGTTCCAAAATATGAAGATAATGATGAATGTAGTAGCCAAGAGAGCGACGACGCCTCAGTGATGAGAGCGACGACGCCTCAGTGATGAGAGCGACGACGCCTCAGTGATGAGAGCGACGACGCCTCAGTGATGAGAGAGACGACGCCTCAGTGATGAGAGCGACGACGCCTCAGTGGTGAGAGTGACGACGCCTCAGTGATGAGAGTGACGACGCCTCAGTGATGAGAGCAACGACGCCTCAGTGATGAGAGTGACGACGCCTCAGTGATGAGAGTGACGACGCCTCAGTAGTGAGAGTGACGACGCCTCAGTGATGAGAGCAACGACGCCTCAGTGGTGAGAGTGACGACGCCTCAGTGATGAGAGCGACGACGCCTCAGTGGTGAGAGTGACGACGCCTCAGTGATGAGAGCGACGACGCCTCAGTGATGAGAGCGACGACGCAGGAACCAGCCGACGCCTCACAAGAGCGACGTACACACAACATACACGCCTCTCAGGAACACACGCCACTTCAAGAGCCAGACCGCACGCCTCCTCGAGCATGAGCACCACGGGTGTACAAGTCCCCACGCCCACCCTCGCTGTATTTATGGCTAATCCAGAAAATTAATGTT